TAAAGATCTGGGTTTTGTTTTATTTTATGTTGTTGTTGGGAGATAGGGTTTTTCTGTGTAGCTCTGGTTGTCCTGGAATTTGCTCTGTAGACCAGGCTGATCTTGAATTTATCTGCCTGTCTCTGCTTCCCAAGTTCTGATTAGGATCTGTTTTTGTGACAGGATCTCATTGTGTAGTTGTGCCTGGCCTGAAACTTTCTCAAATTTGTGGAGATTCTCCTGCTTCCAATCCCCAAGTGCTGGGATTACAGGGTATAGAACACCTGGCTTCTTTGTTATCTATGATGGTCATACAAATCCTAAGCTACTTAAAGTAAGTTTGGAGTCTTGGGGATCTTGTGTGTATCATCACACCCAAGTCTTTGTTATTGTTGTTTTTTGAGACAGGATTTCTCTGTGTAGCTCTGGCTGTCCTGGAACTTGCTCTGTAGACGAGGCTGCCTCGAACTCATAGGGATTCATCTGCTCTTGTGACTTCCTAGAATGCATGAAGCCTTGGAGAATCTTGGTTCAGTCACCAGTACTACAGAAAGAAGGAAGGGAGCTGAAGAGGAAAAGACCAGGAGGTTGAGACAGGAGATGCAAGTTTAAGGTCAGCTTAAATAGTATCTAGACCTTGTATCAGAAACAAAAATCAAGGGGCTAGGACTATAGTTCAGCTAGTATAACACTTATCTAGCATCTGTGGGCCTTGAGGCCTTGAGTTTGGTCCCCAATACTACATAAATCAGGTGTGGTGGTACATGCCTGGGAGGCAAAGGAAAGAGGATGAGAAATTCAAAGCCAGGGTAAGCTACAGAGTTAAGTTCTAGAACAGCCAGAGCAGAGACCGACTCTGTCTCAAAAATCAAACCTGGGGTGGAAAGATGACCACGTGGAGGGCTGGCTCAGTAGTTAAGAGCACTTGCTGTTCTTCCAGAAGAACCAAGTTCCGTTTTCACTTTGGTTCCCAGGATCCACATCAGGCAACTCACAACTACTTACAACTTCTAGGTTCAGGGTCATTTAGCAGCCCACATGTGTCCACACATTCTTCTGGCCTTTGAGGACACCCACTCATACATGATATATAGTCACACAAACACATGAACAGAAAATCTTAAAACAACCCCTAGTTTAAGGTGCATGTTACTTGTTCCTTTTTTCCCCCTCTCTGATAATTTCTCTCTACACAAACTCTATTGTCTAGTGAAAAAAATGTAACTGATAATCAGAAAAGCAATGGGCAATTTTCATTGTGTAAACAACTGGAATACACTAGTTGTTCTCCTTGGCTCATTGTTCTGAGTCAGCCAAACGTCCCATTATTAGGACCAAAGGGCTAAAGCCTACTGTCCCACTGAGTAAGAAATAAGGGGGAAATCCACTCCACACTGTATTGCCAGCGCAGTTCAAGCTCCCGTGGTTCATCTTGGTCTGGGACGTCTAGAGTTCAGCCTGACTCATTTGTGCTTTAGTCTTCCCCTGACCTACCAGACAGTCTGCCATACTCTTCTACAGGAGTCCCGGGCTATGGCCCAAAAGTCCTCATGGTGGGTATTCTTGGTCTTTGTACTATCTCCTTTACCTGGACAGTCTCCTCGCCTAACCCATTTTGATTGTTAGAGTCCTATACACACCTACAAGATCTAATTAATTGCCTCTCCTAAATCTTAATTCTTTGAAGTTGGTGTGCATGTGCAATGTGACAAATTCATCTGTGTATGTTCTGTGACAGTGTGGGCAAGTTTGAACCATGGCATGCATGTGGGGGGTTAGAGGATAACCTTAGGTATTGGTCCTCATCTTCCTCATTTTAGATGGGATGTTTTGTAGTTTTTCTGCTGGGTTGGCCAGGCTAGTTGGCCTCTGAGCTTCCGAGGATTATGTTTTCTCTGGCTCTCACCTACCCACAGGAGTGCTAGGATTACAAATATTCCTATGATGTGCCTGGATTATGTGGCTGCCAGGGAATCAGACTCAGGGCCTCATACTTGTGCAGTAATTACTTTTACCCAGAGTCATTGGCCCCTCAACATGATTTTAACTGCTATTTGTAGGATTTTTTTTTGTTGTTGTTGCTATTTTTTTTTTTGAGGCAGGGTTTTTCTGTGGCTTTGGAGGCCGTCCTGGAACTAGTTTTTGTAGACCAGGCTGGTGGCAAACTCACAGATCTGCCTGCCCTTGCCTCCCGAGTGCTGGGATTAAAGGCGTGCGCAATCAATACCTGGCTATAAGATTTATTTCTGTGTGTGCGCGTGTATGGGCCTGGAGAGGCCAGAGGCAAGCTGCTTGATGTGAGTGCTGGGAATCAGGTGCTCCGCAAAGAACAGTCTATAATTTCAACCACTGAGTCATCTTTCCAGTCCCTCAACATGGGTTAGTGGCTACAGAAACAAAACAAAACCCCCCTCACGTTTATTTAACATCTTATTATCCTGGCTATTTTGTTCACAGGTATAGTGCATTATTGGGGTAGGGGATAAATGAAATGATAACCAGGGAATGGAAACAAATCTCCTGAGAGGGAAAGGGTTTTTTGTTGATTTGTAAGGTTTTAAACAAATTTAGCAATAGGGCTGGTAAGAGATTGCTCAGTGGATAAGAACTCTTGCTACCAAGTCTTATGACCAGTCTAATCTCTGGGACTCACATGGGAAAAGCAGAGGACTCTCCCAAGTTGTCCTTTGACCTCCACACATGACCATACATATATGCAGACACAGGAATGCACACAAAATAACGAAGTTGGGACCAAAGATATTTAGGGGAAAAAAAATCAAGTGGCCTCGCAAATTTCTAGAGATAATGTCAGCTATGCTGGTGCTGGTTGTGCTATTTCCTATACTAAGTGGTATAGGTTTTATTTTTGGGGGGGAGGGGGCAAGGTCTCATGTAGCTCAAGTTGGTCTCAAAATGGATCCATGGCCAAGGTAAAGCTTACATTCCTCATTATCCTGCCTTCTGTCTCAGGAGTAGAATCCCGGCATTCATGCCACTATGTATGTATGGTTTGGGAGTTTAAATCAACTGTAGCTAAAGTTTAAAAGGCAGAGCCGGGCGGTGGTGACGCACACCTTTAATCCCAGCACTGCAGAGGCAGAGGCAGGCGGACTCTGAGGTCGAGGCCAGGCTGGTCTACAGAGCAAGTTCCAGGACAGCCTCCAAAACAATACAGAGAAACCCTGTCTCGAAAAACAAAACAAAAAAGACAGAGGATCTACCTGCAAGGATGCCTTGTAGGGTCATCCTAGTAGTTGATATGTGGAAGTATGCATGATTTCCCAACTTAAAAAAAAAAAGTCACGAAGGACATGATGGTGAATTTAATCCCAGCATCTGGAAGGCAGAAGCAGATCTTGGAGTTCATTTGGGGCCAGCCTGGTCTACAAAGTGAGTCTCAGGACAGCCCAGGCTACACAGAGAAACCCTGTCTCAAATAAATAAGAAAATAATAAATAAAATCCTTCCCTTTTCTCTTTTGGTTTTTAAGTCAGTCTTTTTTTTTTTTTTTCGAGACAGGGTTTCTCTGTATTGTTTTGGAGGCTGTCCTGGAACTCGCTCTGTAGACCAGGCTGGCCTCGAGCTCCCTGAGATCCGCCTGCCTCTGCCTCCCGAGTGCTGGGATTAAAGGTCTGCGCCACCACCACCCAGCTTTAAGTCAGTGTTTCAATACATAATACCAGCTTGCCTTGAACTCAAGATCCTCTTGCCTCATCCTCCTAAGAACTGGGATTACACGCATGCACTACCACACGGGAGAAATATTTCCATCTTTATTCATCCTTTAAATCTTGTTGGGTAAAACACCCTTTTCTTGGATTTCCTCCTCCCCACTTCCCATCTTTTCTGGGATGCGCACTATAAATTATTCTATCCTCCTCTGGCTTCTTGAGCTCTCCTTTTCAAATTGGAAAAAGCAGAAAAACAAACCTTTGTTTTACTCCTCCTTAAGATAGAGGCCTAGTTTCCTCTCCATCTCCCTGCCAAACTTCTGGAACCATTTCTCTTAACTGCCTTCATTGCTTTATCACTAAACATACTCCTCATCCAAGTGTTCGGCTCAGTCAGGGCCTGGCACACGGCAGATTCGGGCAGGCCCCAGCCGAATGTCAGCCCCAGACCTTTTGCAAAGTGTCGCCTGTTTCCTGGTTTCTTCGGAAGGAACTCCTCCGGGCTTTAACAGTCCTGCAGGGCACTCCGACCTCCCGGTTGCCGTAATGCTGCGGCCCCAGGTGCTTCAGGTTCTTGGAAAGTCCTGCGGCTCACCCTCGTATCTGCCCGCCTCTCCCAGTTCTCGCCCTGCAGTCATACTTCCCCGGTAAGCCCACGGATGGCCAGCCCACCCTGAGGGGTTACCAGCCCCCGACTCCGCACCCCGCACCTCCCTTGGTTCCCCCAGAGGCAACACGTCTATGCGCCTCCAAGCCTGCGAGCACGTCCTGGTATCTGGCGATGACCAGCCATTTAGGGCGCACCTGAGTACCCAGGCCCACGCCAACTCCTGCTTCCTCCCACTTAACAACCGTGACTAGGCCCGGCTCGGCCAGGTCTGAGTGAAGACGACATCGTCCGGGCTCCTGGGGCGCTCGCCGTACGTTCGGCCCGCAGCCGCGAAGGCACCAGTCGTCCCTCTAGCCGGCGGCCTGGGCCGCAGCGGGGACTCAGAGGCGCGTCGGAGCTCCAAGGGCCCAGGCGGCCGGGAGAGGCCGCGGGCCGGGCCGCTCCGCCCCGGGTGTGAGGCCGTGTGGGGGGGCGGCGGGCGCCAGCCCAGGTCGGAGTCCCGGTCGAGCCCAGGGTAGCGCCGTCCCCGCCCCGCCCCTCCTCGCGGCGGCGTCGCCAGGGTCGCGCTCGCCTGAGGCGCGAGGCGGAAGACGCGAGGCCGGGCCGGGCCGGGGCAGCTCCTCAGCCGCACAGCCCTGGCCGGTGCCCAGGCCCGAGTCGCCTTCCGCCCGCCCTCCCCACCCGCGGCCTCAGCCAGGTCCCGCCGCCAGCCCGGCTCCCGCCCCCGCTCCGCCCCCGGAGCCGCAGCCCCGCCCGCCACCGCCGTCGCCATGTTGTGGCTCCCGCAGCCGGCGCTGGGGACGCGCGCGGCCGAGCCCGGGGCCTGCCGCTGCCGCCGCCGTCGCCAGGTAAGCGCCCCCCGCCGCCCGGACGGGGCGAGGCCACCGCCCCGGCCGCTCCAGCTCCGGCTGGGGAGTCTGAGGAGAGCGGGCTCGGAGCCCGCGCCGCGGCCCGGCCCTGCAGCCTGGCGGACCCTGCCCGCCGCCCGAGGCGGCAGCCACTTCCCCCCGACCGCCGCCAGGCGGTCCCCGGCCGCCACCCCACCCCGCCCCCGGCCCGGGTCGCCGGCCCCTTCCGCCGCCGCCGCCGCCCGCCGCTCAGGGGCGGCCCGGGCACGCCGCTGTCGTCCCGCGCGCGACAGGCGGCCGCCCGCCGAGCCCCCGGCCCGGGCGGGGATAACGGTGCACTTGGCCGGGCTGGGACGCCCTGTCAGCTCCACGGTCCCCGCCGCGCGAGGACCAGGCGCCGTCACGGGGCAGACGCTCGGAGCGTCGGCCCTCCTCGGCGCCCCTCAGTCACCCCTCCGCTACGCCCAAGTTCTGACCCCGGGGGAGGTTTCTCCCGGGGCAGACACGTCTTCCTCCTCCAGAGTTGGGGTCCTCGGGGTGACCAGGCCTGTTGATCAGGGGTGAATTTCCCTCTCAGCGGGGACTCTTCCTGCCAACCTAGGGTCTAGGGGGAAAGGCTCCGAGTGACCCGGGCGGGTGGACCGGGGAGCGTCTGCTGGACAGATGGCCTCCTGGCCTTGGCTCAGCTTTTGTGAGGGGGAGGGGTCCGTATGACCTTAGGTATGCTTGCTCTGGAGAACCGCGCGATTGTTGGAGGTGGTCAGGGATTTTTAACTATTTCTATGAGCAGGCCAGAGGTGACATTAAAAGTCCAGGGTTGGAATAAACCCACAGGCCCACCCAGGGAGAGGAGGAGAGTGGGGCCTGGGTGGGTTAATGGGTTTTGGACCAGGCTTTGCCCGCTTACCCCTAGGTCTGTGTTCGTGTAGGGGCTAGAGGGTGCTTGTGTCAGGTGTTCACTGGCTGAGCACACAGTGTGCTTGTCCTGATGGGTGCTCAGTGGGATTTCAGACGTCTGTTTGCTAAACTAACAGGTACATTACACCCTGAAAGAGAAGGGGAGGCCTGGTGCAGTGCTTTGTTTTTTTTTTTTTTTTTTTTTATAATTTTCTACAGTTCCACTGACGATGGCTTTGGTTCATTTAGCAACTGTTCCTCTCCCATCCCCCGTTTTTATCCAGGTTGGCCACCAAGCTCAGGTCTTAACTTACCCCCAGTAGTTGGGACTTCAGGCTACTATGCCTGATTGTAAAATTTTTTTCTGAGCACTTGTAGTATGGGCCATGACTGAACTAGGTTTTGTAGATACTGTGTCAGCCGGAAAGACACCACTATTTTAGTGTTGGAGACCTTAGCCTCCAGACAAAGTCCAGTAATTAAAGAAAATATTTGTCAATAAATATATGCTTTCGATGTGGTGAACAAATCAATGAAAAATAACTACCCGTGTAGAGTTTCCTTCTAGTGTGTGGGAAGACCGTAAGTAGTGTCTAATAGCATGTGGTATGTTACGAAGCACTAAATACTAAAGGGAAAACTAGAGGGAAAGAGAATCTGAGGTAAAGGGTGGGTGCTTTTTGTTTTATTTTTTGTGTATACAGTTTATGTCTTCCTGACTGGTCTGTCTAGATCTTCTGCCTCAGCCTCTTGAATGCTGGGACTCCTAGACATTAGCACTCGTGGGCTTAGGGAGAATTTAATTAACATTACAATGGCAGGGGACTTACAAGAAGGTAGGTAGGAAGGCCCCCCCCCCCCCGGGTGTGTGTGTGTGTGTGTGTGTGTGTGTGTGTGGTGTTTGGATTTGTTTGGTTTTGCACTGGGGGAAATCAACCCTAGGGCCTCACTCACTGAGCATAGACTCTGCCTTTGAGCTCTACCTGGCCCAGATGAGTCTTTGGAACAAAACTCTGAAGGAAATGGCTATATGAAAGTTATACGCTCTGGTGAGTTCAAGGGGGGAAAATGAGGAAAGAGAATGGTTTAAGTTGGGGGCTCAGGGAAGGCTTCCTAGAGGAAGTACCACTGCTAACTCGTAAAGAAGGCTTAAGAGTTAACCATTTGTGGAACAGCACTCAGCTTGGCAACTTGGAGGAAGTGAAAGAGGTTCATGGGGCTAGAGGAAGAAAGAAAGGGGCAAGGGGAGATACAAGTCTGTGGAGAGCTGGGCTGCTTGTTTGCTTGTCCCCGCCTGGGTTGTAGGGATGGTTGCCCTTTTTTAGGCTGGATGGTAACTTAGGAGCATTTGCATTTTATTAGTCCTCTGGCCTGGGTTCTGCTCTGACTTTGAGATAAGGCAAGGATTTCTGTGTTGAAAAGATCTCAAGTTTGTGGAACCTCCTTTCCTCTGAAAGTTCTTCACCCAGCTTTTAGCAGGGGAAAACGAAATAGCATTTCTGAGTCTGCTAGGTTGGAGGACCCATCTGAATGACTTTTGTGTACTTTTTTTTTTTTTTTTTGGTTTTTCGAGACAGGGTTTCTCTGTGGCTTTGGAGGCTGTCCTGGAACTCACTCTGTAGACCAGGCTGGTCTCGAACTCACAGAGATCCGCCTGCCTCTGCCTCCCGAGTGCTGGGATTAAAGGCATGCGCCACCAACGCCCGGCCTACATTGTCTTACTACTCTGAACACTCTAGGAGACAAGGTTCTCATGTCCCCAGGTGAGGTGATGTGTCCACAGTGATGATTGTAACAGCTGGATTGAAACCAGGCTTGCCTCATTCCAGCGCTCAATGGATTTGGAGTAAGACTACAGGACTTTAATTTTACTCCTGACACTGTTCACATAGATGTTAAATTATTTAACTCTGCTTATGCCTCAGTTTCCTCATCTTCAATGCAAGTATCTACTTCATAAAATTATGCAGATAAAATTGAGCCATATAGGGCTGGAGAGATGGCTCAGTGGTTAAGAGCACTGACTGCTCTTCCACAGGTCCTAAGTTCAATTCCCAGCAACCACATGGTGGCTCACAACCATCTGAAATGAGGTCTGGTGCCCTCTTCTGGCATGCAAGTAGAACACTGTATACATAATAATAAAATCTTTAAAAAAAATTGAGCCATATAAAGTTTAGCAGTTTGTTCAATAATATTAGTTTCCCTAACTAAAAAAAACAAAAAACAAAAAAACCCTGCTACTTCTTAGCTATATTGTGACTATTTTGGATAAGACTAAATAGATAATTCAGTTTTGTTTTGTTTCAAGTCAGGGTTTCTCTATAGCCCTGGCTGTCTTGGAACTCTCTCTGTAGACCAGGCTGACTTTAGCTCAGAGATCCTCCCGGGGTTAAAGGGGTGTGTCCACCACCGCCACCTGATGATAATTTAGTTATTTAATTTTGTGTAACTATCTCCTTTCCCTCTTTCCTCTTTTTTTTTTTTTTTTTTTTTTTTTTTTTGAGACAGGCTTTCTCTGTATTGTTTTGGAGCCTGTCCTGGAACTGGCTCTTGTAGACCAGACTGGCTTTGAACACACAGAGATCAGCCTGCCTCTGCTTCCTGAGTGTTGGGATTAAAGGCGTGCGCCACCAATGCCCAGCCTCTTCTTTTCTTGTAATAACTTAATGCCAATGCTGTTTCCATATGATCAATCATTCAGCATTGATATTTCATGCTAAAAATCAAGAACTGTTAGACACCATTTTCTTTTCAGTAGAGTATATAGGAAAAGTCAATTATTTTAACAAATGATTATAATCACGATTTAAATTCTCTATAGTGGTGGTTAAAGAATTACTGGGAGCAGGTTGGGGAGGCCCAGTTCTGTAATCCTAGAGGAAGAAGATCAGGAAGGAGCTCAGCTTGTAGTGTTTGAAGCCAGCCAGAGAGGTGTGAGGTTCTGAAAATGCCTGGGTCGGGGAGCTTCAGGGAGGAGGAGGATGAAGAGTTTTGCAGGTTAGTAAGAATGTGAAGGATATTCTACATAGAGTGCCCTGAACATGAAAGCATGCAACTATTAGAGACCCCTTGTGTGGAGATGAGGTTGGAAAACCCATGAGAGGTGAAAAAGTTTGTGTTGTACTCTGTAAGCCATGGTGAAGTGCCAGAGAGCATTAGATACAGCTCATGCATTCCATGTGGCTGTTGCATCTGGAGAGCAATGGCCACTGTCATTCTTGGGCAGCTTTGTCTCTGGGGACCCTGGGCTTCTGTATCAATTCCTAGATTTGGAGACCAAAACTTGAGTTTAATAAGGGTTTTCAGCTGATTCAGGGAGACTGACTCATTAAGTAAACTCGAGGAGACTGATGAGTAAACCTAAACTATTAATTGACTGTAAAAATGGAACAGCAGGATGACAGATGTTTCTGTTCTCCAACCATTGTCCCCACCTCTCTTCCTCTTTCTGGCTAGTGCTAGAGCAACTGACAGACTCTCTCAGTTCCCATTTGTTCTTCTCAGGTACACTGATTGACATGAGCATTTTCTCTGCTTTATCTAGTCTTTCTTCAAGTACTATTATGTATAGTTGATGATAATCATTGATAGTGAATGGAGCTGTGTTATTCAGGTGGGATCATGTACTTGTGAAACTTAGATAAAAGAGGAAGAATAACTTTCAAAAATATTGACAAGTTCAGGCTTAGCCTGGCCAACATGAGACCCTTTCTTACTCAATAAAGAAAAATTAAATAGATTTTAGAAAGGAAATTTGATGAGAGAGGTTCTTTAGAGCTAAGCTAGCCGAGAAAGTGCGTGGAGGTTCTGTGTTGTAGGGGTAGTTTTGAGCTAAGTAGTGTGGGTATATGCGTTGGAATTGTTCAGGGAACAACCCAGACTGTAGATGATGTTTTCTTTTCTTTTTTTTTTTTTTTTTGTTTTTTTTTGTTTTTTGTTTTTCGAGACAGGGGTTCCCTGTGGCTTTGGAGGCTGTCCTGGAACTTGCTCGGTAGACCAGGCTGGTCTCGAACTCACAGTGATCCGCCTGCCTCTGCCTCCCGAGTGCTGGGATTAAAGGCGTGCGCCACCAACGCCCGGCTAGATGATGTTTTCTTTTA